AAAATTCCTTCAAGATGCCACATTGGAAATTCATCCTTCCGTCTCTCAGGAGGGTCTCTAGTGTTGGAGCAGATTGCTGCTGCTTTAGTAGAGCTCCAGATGAAATAGCTGGCCTCTGTTTGGAGACCATGTTGTATGATAAAGACATGGATATTTAAATGCTAAGAAGACCCTCAGCACCCTGGAATGCTCCTCCTGTGAGAGGCCTGCAGGCCTGAGATGCCGTCTCCCATCTCACACTCACTGGGTTACACACCCGTTGGGTAGAACCGCCACACCACTGAAATCAATCTGTTTTTCTCTCCCTCCCCACTCCATCCCCCCAGTGCATACAGATGAATTAATATAAGTTAAATGAGCATATGGTACAATTCAGTTGTATGTGCCAGGCTCTGAACTAGAGCTCTCTCGCAGTTCATCTCATTTGTTCCCCATAGCAGAGAAGTTAAGTAACTCCTCCGCAGGCACTTAGATATCACAAGGCAGACCAATACTTAAATATCTGACTCAAAATACCTACTCTTCTAGCATTTGCAGTTTTACACATAAATAGTTGGACAGATAAGACACGTGTGAAACAGTAATAGTAGAAGACTGAAGTCCTGTGGGTCCATAGGAGCAAAGATGGGGAGGAGGAGCAGGTTGAGGGGTTTTATAGAAGGAGGGGGTGGGGCCTAAACTGGGTCCGAGGAGAACAGTGGAATTCAGAGGGGCAGAGCCGAGGAGGAGGGCATTCTGAAAGAACCGTGCAGAGGTCGGACAGAGGACCGGACGTGCTACGAGGGGCAGCTTGGAGGTGGTTCTCTCCCAAGCAGAGGCTTGGTTCATGGTGGGGAACCTCGTGCCATCATCAGCCTCATATTTAAGGCAGGTCTGTGATGGGAAACCTGAGTCCAGGGAGGATGGATAGCAGACGTTTCTAGAGAGACTAGGAAAGCAAGATTTGGGGAATTTCGAGGCAGCCATAGGGAAAAGGGGCCATCAAGAGGGCTCCATCCAGCCACTTGCATTGCTCATCCATCTGCAGCCTCACTAGAGCCAGTCAGATCCAGGCTGGGTACATACAATAAAGTGGCCTTCAGAACTCAAGCGGAACCTATCTCGTTAACTGCATGTCATTTGTGTTAAAGGAACACTCAAAAGTAAGTCATAAAACCTATTTGGTGAAGAAGAGTAACCTGCCTGTCCACCAAGATGCACCTGAGGAAGAAGCACCTGCGCAGGTAGTGATGGCTGTTGTTAGGTGTTTCTGTGCTTCCCAGTGAGTTTGCTCTAGCTAGGCCGCTGGTTCTTACTCCTCACTGTGCGATAGAATCGTGTGGGGAATGTTTTAAACACTCAAATGCCTAGCCTCCACCTTAAATGGTCCAGGATGGGGCCCAGGCAACCTGTTTGCAGAAGTTGCCAGGTGGTTCAGAGTGCAGCCAAGTTTGAGAACTGCTGCCCTTTAGCATATGAATGTTCAGCTCTCTGGGTGGTCTGAGCCAGTGTCCCAGGCGTGTTGGTCGTGAAATCTGATGGTCAACTTCTTTTCCATTTCAACCTTACATTTTTCATGGGGTTAGAAGGCTGAGCAGAGTTGGAATATCAAATGGATCTCAAGAGAGTGTTTTTCTGTCTGAGAAAAGATTATATGATTTTAATGCTAAATGAATCTGTTGGTTTCAGCTAATTCTGAGAATTATTCAACCTGTGAAATGGCCTCATAAACAATGTTCCTGTGATTAAATATTTTACATTTCAGGGAGTTACAATATATTGATTTTGTGAATAAGAAACTCAAGTGTGGGGC